CTCTCAGATTAGCCACAACCTCCCCAGGGTTAAACTTAGCCTGTACTGATCCCGCAATTCACTTTAGAAACTTCTAAGGGGGAAAAAATCTCTCAAGCATATACAGAGCAGAGATGCGTGTAGGTGATTAGTCACTGAAGAATTGTTGACACTAGTGGGGGGGGGGCTAATGTCTAATAAAAATAAATTGGCCAAACTGTCTAGATCCATAAAATTAAATATTCAGTTACTGAACCATTATAACTGATAATACAGATACAGAAAGACTGAGAAAATGTTAAGCCAAAAAAAAAGGAAACAGGTTACAAAACAATTCCACGCGTATACAGCAGGAGCGTATATTTGTTACCAAAAACTACACTTATACATGAATAGCCACATACACACACGAAAGGTTTTGAAGGGAGATGTACTCTGGTGGTGGACTTATGAATTTTTTAAGTTTTCTACTTTTTACTTTTCTGTATTTCAATTTTTCTACCATAAACATGCAGTTCTTTAAAATACAAGGGATATTAGCTAATCATCATAAGCTGATTATCAGTTTGGTTCTGAAATGTACAAATACCCTGAAAGTGATAATAAGATTTACTGTCTGAAGTACTCAGAAGTATATAAACTTTGCTATTATTATTCCCATTTTAGTCTGAGATAGCTTAGGCACTGAGGAGTTAGATGATTAAATCAAAGTCACAGACGTGTGGTCAAACCCATTCTTTAGAGACGGCGCTGCTTACTCTCCTCTTGACTATCCGGTAACCTTCAGTTACATCATAGAAGCTGTTATTTACGGGGCCCATGCAATACTCAAAAACAGGGGTGTCCAACATGGGCTGTGTGTGGTCCAGGGTGGCTGTGAACGAGGCCCAGTATGACACTGTAAATTTAATTAAAACGTGAGATGTTTTTGTTTTCATTAGTGTGTGTATATTTATTTAATGTGTGGCCCAAGACAACCCTTCTTCCAGTGTGGCCCAGAGACGCCAAAAGGTTGGACATCCCTGCTCTAAAAGCAGAGAGTAAAGGTCATATTTTATTAGTATAAAAAACGAAACTGGAAGATACACCAATTTTCTTTTTAATTAACTTTAGACAAAGAGGAGGAAAAAGGAGGAGAGAGAGAGATTTATTGTTTATTTATACAGACTGATTCCTGTATGTGCCCTGGCTGGGGACTGAACCTGTAACCTTCGCATATGGGAGTCGGGACACTTCAATCAACTGAAGCACTGAGCTACCCAGCCGCAACAGAAAATGCAGTGATTTCCTATACTTTTTGAAAATCAATTTTTATAGCATTGTGTTGAAATTATCATAGCTTATAAAATGATATTTTGATATAGTGATAACATAGTAATTTACCACTACGCTGTGATTTAAGATTACATTTTTTAGTCTCTCAGCAAGTATTTCTCTAGGAACCTTCTTTCCAGCTCATCACCTTGGGCATTCTATGCTTGGGAAGGTTCTCTCCTTTCAGAGCCAATCAAGTTTATGGAAATGACTGGGGTAGAGTACTTGTGGCTCGTTTCCATACAATCAATGACTATTAAGTGATAAAAATGATTTTACAAGTAGAAGTTTTAAAATGTGGTCTTGCTGCGGCGATGCAGTCCACTCATAAATATTTAATTGAGTTTCCCCAGGCACTATTCTAGGCACTGAGGGTACAATGATAAACTCAAGTCTCTGCCCCACTGAAAGGTTTATCACTGGTATGATACACATTTGAAGGTCACAGGCAGTTTTTATTGGCAGCCTAAGATATAAAATATTGTTACTTGAAAAACTTGCTATTCACTTCAAGAAATAGTAACACCAGTGGTTGGTTCTCCAACTTTGCCGCACAGGAGAAATTCCTGCAGGACTTTCTGAAAATACAGAAGAATCTAGAGTCCCACCTCCAGGAATTTGATTCTGAGGGGGGATGACAAAAACCTGTATCTTTAACAAGAACCTCAGTTAAAGCTGCTGTAAGTGATCTGCAGTCCAGACTTCGAGAAACCCTCCAGTAACTAGAGCCATTCAGAAGGGAAAGATCATTCAGAAGAGAAAAGCTCTACAAGTAGTGTAACTGGCACTGAGTAATAAACCCAACCCTCAAGTAATTAATTCTCTGTCATTCACAAATCTAGCAAATTAAAAAGATGAGTTAGAGTCCAGGAATTTACCAGCACTTCCTCCTTAACCTCTACAGGAGACTGAAATTTGCCTCAATCAAGGCATTTGGGGGAAAGATGAACTTAGAGTACTACTACCAACATTAGACACAAGCATCAAGAAAAAGGAAACTGCTAGTCAACTGCAAAAAAAATGCTAAGAGGGACAAACATTTCATGGAATTAACTTGCTGCCACTCACTTTATGCCCTATTTCACAATGCTTAGTATCTGAACAATCCCCAGGGTTCCAAAGTACATCAGAAACGTGTTCATTTCCTCTCCTACTCAGGCAGACTAACAGTAGAGTTTTGTGAAGGTACCATGTGCCATAGCCATTTCAATAAATATATTTGTAGGTTAAAAAATACCTTTTAAAAAAACTCAGTCAGAAACTCCTCACCGGAGCTACTTAAAGGAGTTTTGAAATAGTTTTAATGCCATCGCTCAGGTCCCTCATTCCTCCATTTAGACTAAAGTTCCTGGGTTCCTTCCAAACCTGTAGGAAAAATTCAGTATTTAAAATATACATATTTATGTGACGCGGAAACTTACATCAAAACGATGTGAATGTTTCAAGTAAACTATTAAAAGTAATTAAAAGAAAAAACATAGTTCTCAGAGATAGGTAGAAATCATAAGGCGTGAGGGGTGTTTAAGCACCTTAAGTCATCTAATAACATTCCATTTCAGAGGCGAGGAGCAGCACCATGCACCCAGCTGGCCACTGGCTCTGGCCCGTTCCTGCCCCTGCCCCTGCCCCTGCCCCTGCCCCTGCCCCTGCCCCCTAGCTAATCCAGGGGCGCTCTGAGCCCGCCCTGCATCTGGTCAAAGGGATTAGGGAAACCGCCTCCCGCCGACAGAGCTGAGATTTCCCAGCTGCGTGCATCGGGTGGCCCTTGCGTTCATCACCCGCACTGTCTCTGTGCTTTCCCGAGTTGGATGCCTGCAAACAGCAAGCGCAGGGTGCGGGCAGAGAAGCACAAAGAAGCGCCTCCGGCCAGAGCGAGCAGCTGGGAAGCCCAACCCGCTGCCGCCTCCACCGCAGCCCCAGCGAGGGCCGGCTCAGAAGGAAACCTTCCCGTCGGGAGGCAGCCAGAAACCCCCAGCCTCAACCCGACGGAGAAGCCGCTCGTCCGTTTCTCCAAGAGCAACGCCTTCCTCAGCCTGAACCACAACAAAAGATGCCCCTAGGACGCGTCATCTCTCGAAGTTGTCTGCGGATCCGCGGGCGAGCAGGACAGGCGAGTGCAGCCTTTCGTCGGCGGCTTCCTGTTCCCGTGGGTGTGCGGGTCACGGTTACCCTGGCCGGAGAGGGCGACTGCACCGCGCGGGCCGGTGCGCAGCGCTGGACGCGCTCCCGGCGAACGCGGCCGCGGCCGGACTCAGCCCGGCGCTGACGGCCCTCCCCTGAGCGGGCCGAACAGGCACATGAGGGGCAGACAGAGGAGCCGGGACTCGAGGCCCGGGAGAGGCAGGCGGCGCGACGTCGCTGCCCGCAACCTCTGGATCCCCGGAGGCGGGCGGGGAGGCGAGGCTTGGCCGGTGCGCCGCGCTCCGGCGGACGAGGGCAGCGAGGTCAGCCCTGGAGGCCCGAGCGCCCCCGCAGCCCCCTGGGGAGGGTGGGACCCTGGTCGGCCGGCCGGGGCTGCGGACCCCCATTCAACCCGAAGCCCGTCCTGCGGCCGTCAGCCCCTCGCCCGCCGCGGCCCCCCGGCTTCCCGGTGCCCGCCGGCCGGCCGCCCGGCCGCCGCCCCCGGGAGGATAGGGAAGGACGACGCGAGGGGCCGCCGTGGCCGCGCCTCCCGGGCGCGCGGCAGAGGCTGAAGGGCGGCCTCGGGACGGGAGCCCTGGCGCCATCGCGCCGACCCCCGCGAGGACCCCCGCCCGCCGCCTCACTAGTCCAGGCCGCCGCGGAGCAGCCCGCTCCTCACCTCATCTCCAGGCGGGTCCGCGCTGCCGCCCCAGGGACAAATCAGTGCCTCTCTCTCGCCACGGGGAGGGACGCAGGAGCCGCAGCCCCGCACACCATCCCCGCCCGCCCGCCTCTCCGCGCGTCCGGGAGTCCGCTCGGGACTCTCCCTCGCGAGCCGCCGTACTACGGAGCAACCAAGCTGCGCTCCCACCCAACTCCTCCTTTCCCCTCTACCTCCTTCGCTCCCTCCCTCGCTCCCTCGCTCCCTGCTCCCGCCTATCTCCTCACCGCTCGCCGCGGCCTGCCCCGCCCCTAAGCCCCCATGTCTCCGCCCACAGGTGGGTGGTGGCACACAGCCTGCCAATTGGGAAAAGGGGCTCGCACCTCCTCATTGCCCCGCCTCTAGCCCCGCCCACCCCGGGAACCAATGGAGGGGGAACCAATAAAAAATAGCAGCTCAAAGGGGTGGCGGGGCAGGAGAATCCAGAAGGCGTAACCGGAGGCTTCTGATCTGGGATTTTCCTGACAGGGCTTGTGGAAATTTTGTTCCACGATTACTTTGCATCTGTCCGTTGTCATGCGACACACTAGTTAGGATACACTCAACTAAACTAGCTAAGGAAATCTTGAAAGAGAACACTTAGAGGCAAAAAGAAAGACGGGGCACAATCCAAGGAAGGTGGTAGGGCAAACGGTTGGAACGAGGAAGGGTGTGGTCTTGAACTGAAATTTGCATAAAACGGAGGCACGGAGCCACGGAGCCCATTCAGGTGACTACAACTCACCCGTTTATTGGTAACCCTGTGCAATGCCCAGCTTCTCCTAGCAGAGCATGCCGGGAGTTGTAGTTCAGAGTTCGGTTGCTATGGCGTTCTCTCCGGCCTTCTGGAGTCTGGGAGTGACGAGCCGTCTGACCAATGGAAGTAGCGCCTGGGCCAAGGAGGGTGGGCTCTCTGCAGAAGGACTCGAAGGTGGCGGTGGCGGAGGGTTAGGCCGTTAGAGCTTCTCGAAGGCAGGTGAGTCCCGCTTAGTGCGTCGTGTGTCTTGGAAAACCGGACTTTGGACGAGAGATCGAGAGACGACCCGCGCAACCATCCAGCCCTGGGGCGGATGGTGGTTCGCGCCGCACCTCAACCCAGATCCCCTCGGGCTCAGGCCTAGTTTAGCTGAGTCCTCCGAGGGGCGGGGAAGACTTGATTAGCCTGGCGATTTCCTTGTCCTTACGGGTTTTCTCTCAGTTTGCCTATCCTTCCACGTTTAAGAACGGTAAAAGTCTGGCAGTTCCCTTCCACTGAATCTCCCGGGTTGGTGTTTTGTTCTTATGATTTGAGTTTTTCTTCCTCCCTTACCCCTTCTCTGCCACTGCTTTCTACTCTTTCACAGTTTACTGTTTTGGAGCAATTAGCTAAATAAAGCTGGAGTATTCTCATTTATGTGACTTTAAGGCCAGATATGCCCTCTTCAGCTAAAAACCGATACTCTGCAGCGAGCCTAGGAACCACCTCGGAACACTGTCGTGCGGAGTCTGCTTCCGTAGGTGGGGCGGGGCCGGAGGATTTGCGTTTCCGAGGAGCTGCCAGGGGCTGAGAGATTCTACATCAGCTCTGAGCAAATATAATGCAAGCTTAACGTAACTTTAAATTTTGTGGTATCCATAGCCAAAATATGAAAAGAAACACGGGAAGTTCATTTTAATAATGTTTCATTTCATTCAGTATGTTCAAAATATGATTTTAACAATTATTTTAAAATTGAGCTATTATACATTCTTTTTCTTATTGTCTTTGAAATCTGATGTATATTTTACATTTACAGCACATCTTAGTTCCGACTAGACACAGTTCAAGTGCTCCTTAGCCACCTGTGGCTGGCGGCCACCCCTTACTGGACAACACAGATCCTGATGACATAGTTTCCCACGCAGGAACTGAAAGTGTTAAATCTCAGGTTGTGTATGACCAAACCCTTTGAGGTGGGCTTCGAAACTGTAATACCTCAGAGGTTCTCTGCCCAATTCGCAGAAATAATAGTAAAAATAGCCAACACTTACGAACAATGTTTTTGTAGAGTGCTTTGCATGTGTCATTTAATCCTTATAACAACACTTTACAGGAATGAAATCTAAGGCCCAGAAGGTTGAAATTAAATAGCCCAAAATCATGTAGCTTGCAAGTAGGAGAACTGGGATTCAGACTCCCATCAATTATGATTTCTAAATCCTATTTGTCAGCCACTGCAGTCTATAATTACTACCTTTTATGACTAATTTCACTTCCTTGGTGCCTCTGCTCCAGTTTATGGCGGGGGTGAGGTGTTGAGATTTGAAACAGAGGGTTTCCCTTACAAAATCAAGTTTGTCAGTTGCAGTGAAATATTTTGGTAGTTTTACAACTGTCGGTGCTGTGCATTCAAAATCAAAGTTCTGGGTTGAAGATGAGTGTTCAGAACATTGATTTTAGGCCTCTGGACAAGTACCTGGGGCATTATGGTGTCTTGATTCATTTGCATACCTCCCTAGAGATGGAAAAAGTTGGGACTTCTTAAATTGTTTCACTATGAAATCATGGTGTGTTTTGCTTTTGTTTTTGGTGAAATCATGTTTTTCATTGATAAAAATGTTTTCTTGCTTTTGTGAATTTCACACAGAACATTTCAAAGACAACTTGTGATTTTTCTAGACCCAGTGAACACTAACTAAGGAGAGGTTTAATGAGTAGAAGACTGAAAATACATATACTCACACGAGCTAAAATATGCTATTTTGCCAAAGTAATTTTCTTCTAATTTTATGCATTATAATAAATGTGAAACTTTATAAATTATTTTCTCTCAATTGTGAATTTATTAGTAAATAGCTAAAATTACAATTTCTGTCTTGCATCTTAAGCAAGAAATGGTTTCTTTAAGATGCTATAGTGTGCCCTGGCTGGTGTAGCTCAGTGGATTGAGTGCTGCCCTGTGAACCAAAGGGTCGCACTCAGTCAGGGCATGTCCCTGGGTTGCTAGCCAGGTCCCTAATGGGGGCCATGTGAGAGGCAACCACACGCTGATGTGTCTGTCCCTCTCTCCTTCCCTCTCTCTAGAAATAAATAAAATCTTTTTTAAAAAGATATGCTGTAGTGACTTGGAAAGTTGGGAAATGAACAAGGCATTTACAGACTGCAGTAAGGGTAGTGAGCGGAGAAGAGACTGGTTAGGTCCGCTGGAGGAGGAAAGTGTAGTGGTGATTCGAAGGTCCCTCAGTCGCAGATGTCCCGCATCACCACCTGCACGGCCCCAGCATCATGTGATTAAAACAGCAGAGAGAAGACTCGTTCATCACACCATTGGCTTTATCGTTCCCCATAGTCATTAGGGGAGAATATGCTAATTAAAAATATAAGTGAAAGTTACATTTCTGTTATGCTCAATCTTAATATATTGACTGGCCCTACAGTGACTAGTAACTGGACCAAAGATTCGCCATCCTTAAAGTAGTGACCATCCCACCCCCCAACCTACCCGCTGCTCACAGACTAGACAGACTGGCGGGGAATGCCTCCAGGAAGAACCCTACGTGGGAATCAGTAAATAACACAAGTGAAGCTCACCTGGGGCCAGGAGGATTACTGAAAAAACTTTCTGAGACTGAAGAGAGGTGGTCGCTGGGAGCCGCTGTTCTAGACAGACGCGTGTCGGCAGCCATGGCTTGTGTGCATAGGCAGTGATCTGGCATCTCCAAGCAAATGCCTTTTTTTACTTCTGCCTAAAGCCTATATCAAAAAGAAACATTTTTCCTTTCCTAATTCTTCGCCTATCTAGATCTCAGGTTGTGTGAGAAGTAAAGGTCATGCCTCAAATGTATAAGTTCAATTGAGTATGTTGATAATGCTCATAGAAATCAAGGTGGTCATAATTAGAAGAGGCATTAACATGGCCATCTGAGCTCCCTTTCCCCCAGCTGATGCCCGAATGCCCCTTTGATGCCACAGTAAGTGTGAATTCAGCCTCTGGTTAAATCCTTCCAGTGATAGGGGCTGTGCAACTTCATGCATTTCCCTAAGTTTGAATTATGTACCTAAGCCCTGGCTGGTGTGGCTCAGTGCATTAAGTGTGGGCTGTGAACCAAAGGGTTGCCAATTCCATTCCCAGTCAGGGCATGTGCCTGGGTTGTGGGCCAGGTCCAGGTCCCCAGTGGTGGCCACGTGAGACGCAATGACACATTGATATTTCTCTCTCTCTCTCTTTCTCCCTCCCTTTCCCTCTTCCAAAAATAAATAAATAAAATCTTTAAAAAGTAAATAAAATAAGATAAATTATGTACCTAAAGTGGGAAACTAAAGGTTCTTACAACATGTTATCAGCCGGAACTGCTTCCTAGTGTCCAGCTGGGTGTGAGCCACTATCAAAGCATCTCCTGTGCCCACCTGCAAACACCTGCATGCTCACTGCTTAAGGAAAGTGTCCTTAGAGTGTACAGATTCCCAGAGACTGTTGCCTACACAGCGTAGAGATGTCCTCCACCTGTGCAGACCACGCACCCAACACCTAACTGAGTAGGAGTACTGTGCTTCACAGCCTGCAGAGCATAGCACTGACCCGTGCTTTGCCGTGTATAACGCGCACCCACGTTTTGTGCATGTTCTATGTGGGATTATCATGCCCATAGTATGTAGTCATTATACTTGTATATAATGCACACCCTTATTTTCCCCTCAGAAATCTGGGCAAATACATGCACATTATACATTATGATGAACCAAACCTGCATCTAGTTACTGTGGTTTGCTGACCAAATTTTTTCACCAAATGTTTGGGCACAGGGTTTGACATACTTCTTTATCTGATGCATGGGTATGTATGAAATTCTCACAGGTCAGCAAGGACACTATTAAAACACAGTATGAAGTCACCCCCTTGGTGTATAACTGAAGACTTTATCCCTGACAGTCCAGCTCACACCTGACTGCTGCACCCCTGTCCCGGCACAGCGGGGAGCAGGAGGGGCGCGTCTGAGAATTGACCTACCTGTTTTTTCTGTAGCCCACCTTCCTGACAGTGTCTCTGCTTCCCTAAAAACAAAAGGGAGCCCTGGCTGGTGTGGCTCAGTGGATTGAGCGCGAGCTAATGAACCAAAAGGTCGTCAGTTTGATTCCCAGTCAGGGCACATGCCTAGGTTGCAGTCCAGGCCCCCAGCTGGGGGCACGTGGGCAACCACACACTGATATTTCTCTCCCTCTCTTTCTCTCTTCTTTCCCCTCTCTCTAAAAATAAATAAAATCTTTAAAAAAACAAAAACAAAAGGGAGAGTGGGTGAGGAATGTTATAACAGAATCCTGAACCAGAATTGGCCACAATATTACAAAGTTCGTGTTGGGGAATAATAGAAATTGGAGTATGTAAAGAGTTTGGACTTTCAGGAATTAAGTTGTCTGCAGAGTAGCAGATGGATTGGGTGAGAGAAGGGAATGAAGCTGTCCAGTAGCCACAACGTGAGCACGTCTCTTGTGCTAGCACCCAGCAAAACAAAAAGTGAGCAGGTGAGCCAGCACAGCCAGAGAAAAAGGAAGTCTTCAGGCCAGTAATTTATTGTAATACAGAGGAAGAAGTAGTGATAGACTCTTAAGATACCCTTCATGACCGAAGATTGGTACAGCAAAATCTTATTTCGGAGAAAGATTAGTCCAGTTTTACATCTCTTGAATTTGAGGTGGACCTGCTACTTAGAGCACTTTTGGTCTGAAAATGTAGATAAAGGCTGACGTGCAGAGGTGTGATGTGTAATTATTAATAGGTGAGCTGCTTAGGAGAGGAGCTATAGCAGGAGAGAACCAGGGGAGTGTGTGTTGCTGTTGAAACTAATGAAACCATTGGAAATGTCTTCCCGTTGATTCTTTTTAGAATTCCTTAAAAGAATAGTACTTTTATTAACTACTTTCTTGAAGTGTTGTTTATAGCAAATGTTTAATTTATTCAAAGACCTCTGCTTTTTACCAAAAATTATTTAAAATAGGTGTCTTAATTTTTGTTTCTACATACTTTAACAGATTTAATGTGGACCATTATAAAAATATAAATATTATAAATATTATCCTCAATGTGTGAACTTATGTCAAATATATTTAAAACCTAATGTACATGGAAAAATAAGCCCATTTAAAAATGTAAGCTGATATACTTTTATAGGGCATATCAGCCTACATTTTTAAACAGTTTTATTTTTACTTAAAAGTTTTATATATTGCTTCTTTGGTAAAGGGAAGTTTAGAGTGGTACACGTAATTTTGATGTTACATAGCATTCATTCTTGGAAGTGGCTTGATAAATGGTATATATTTTAATTTATAATTTTATTTTATAAGGCAGTCAGTTATTTTCTGTGTGCAAGTATCTTTATATTCAATAAAAATTTATTAAGTAACGGACTAGGCGTCCCATTTAACCTGGACCAGTGCCTGAGCGACTGAGTGGGCCTCCAGTACCGTCCATTGTTCCATTTTCTTAGTGTCAAGAACTCAATATTCTCTTTTTGGGTTTGCAAAACAACATTTCCTCCTTTTTCTTGCTTCTTTTGTAAAAACACTTATCTTTCTTCCATTTGCAATTTTGAGGATATTTTTGTCCCCATGTGGTTCTTTATTGGCCCAGCTAAAAAAAAATTTTTTTCTACCAGCCAGGCCAATTTTAACCTAAAATTTGGAGGAACCATTTAGGATGATCTGACCAAAAGTATTGGCATCATTATGTGTATAGTACTTGTGTTAATACAGTTGCCTTCCCAGGCCTTTGAACTTGGAGTGCCGTGGTGTGAGGTGCATGTGACTATTGATCTGGGAGACACCCCATGTTTTAAGACGCCGGGGGCAGAGAAGTCAGTGGCTTCCAGAATTATAAAAGGAGATGTTTTGAAATCAATGTGTTGCTGTGTAAATGTTCCATTTCTCAAAAAGGCAACTCCGGTAGCTCCAGGCTGAATAGAGCAGAAATTTTATTATTTCGTAATAATGAATATCGATTCTCCCAAGCAATAGCAGGGAAAATACACATAGTCAGTGGACACGTCGGGGTTTTGTTCCTGTGTGATAGAATCTAGAAGCTGGGACAGATGGGGCCAATGGGGCCCCATCACCGGGGGGATGTCAGCGGGGCAGCAGGTTGAGCTTTATCTCCTTCCCAGAGTCTGCAGAGTGCGCACAGTGCAGTCTCAGAATAAGCAGTGCCTGGAAGCCCTGAGCCAGGGTGACCATATGGTATGAAGTCATAACGGCCAGATCAGACAGGGTATGCACTGGAAAAATGGGGCAGTAAGGTGGACTCGGGACAGTGGGTGATGCATTTCGACAGCCTTGAAAGCTAGGTGGAGGAGGTTCAATGTCATAGGGATACATAGTCGCTGCATCTGGGCCTAGGTACCCCCTCTCTCCCCTGCCGACACCAGCATACACACCGACACGCACACAAGCAGGCTCTCCTTTGGCCAAAGGGTTGGGGTTCATTCAGTCATCTAATCTAGCTCACCTGCTTTTATAGACTCTGTTGTTACATGCTGCATACATAATTACGTATGTCTTGAATGTCTATTCATTTCTTTTAGTTCTAGAATTTGGTCGTCATATTCTAGAAAGCAGTGATCATTGCCAAACTACTCAGTGAAAACCCTTTATGTGGCTCTGTTAGACCCTCTAGGATGCAGCTCGCGGGCTGGTTTCATGGGCGCGGGACCTTCGTAGTGGCCCTGGACCTCCTGCTCAGAAGGAACCCACACTTGGTTTAATGCTCCACTGTCACCATCCTGAAATTTTAATAATTTATGGGCAAGGTCCCCCACATTTTCATTTTGCACTGGACTCTACAAAGTGTGTAGCCAGTTTTACCAACAAGTACTTAATCATTGTCAGTCCTAAACTAAAGGGCATAGGCCTCTCATTTCAAGGGGAAACCTAATGTTAGCAGCTCAGTAGAAAACCATGATACTGGTTAAGAAAAGTGACTCTGGAGTTGGTGGCGCCTGGTTTGGCCCAGCTCTGGCCCAGCTGGTGCTGTGAGACCCAGTCTCCTCACTCATGAGCTAAATGCAAGATAGTACTTTCACCAAGACATGTGCACAAGAATGTTCTTAGCAGGATAGTTTGTGAAAGCCCCGAACTAGAAAGAATCACATACAGGGAATACTGTATGGCAATGAGAATGAATGGCAACAACTGTTGGCAACAACGTGGTTGAGACAAACAAGACTGAGGAAGAGCAAACAGATGTGGAAGGAATATCACTTCATTTGCATGAAGGCAAACAGACGAGACGAACCTGTGCTGTGGAAATGGTGTTGAGTATTCTTAGGCGGCGGAGGCAGTGGCCAGAACAGGGATAGAAGGGCTTCTGGGGTCCTTGTGCTGGGATTCCCGCATGACGGCCATGTTCATGTTGTGGCGTTCTGCACGATACACGATGCAGGATCTGTGCACTTTCCCACGAGTATTGTTATCTTGCACGGAATTCATATTAAGAAAACAGTCCAGCCTGGCCAGGCGGCTCAGCATCATCCCACACACCAAAAGGTGGGGGCGCATCCGGGAGGCGACCCATCACTGTTTCTCCTTCTTCCTTCCTATCTTTCTAAATCCATAAAAACATATCCTCAGGTGAGGATCCAAAAAACAGTCTAAAAAATAATGAAAGAAATAGTCTTGCCGTACAATTACTATGAAAAATTTTTTAAAACTATAAAATCTTTGACAGACTACGGGTTTAAATGCTTCCATTAAATGGAAGTAAACTGTAAGCAATAATTAGGGGTTGTAAACTGTCACAGAATAATAGGGGTATAGTTGTGACAAATATCTTGATGGTCCATTTTTTCCTCTTTGATGGTCTTTTTTAATACTTTGAATGCCTATTTTTAAAAAGATTTTATTTATTTACTTTTAGAGAGAGGGGAAGGGAGGGAAAAAGAGGGGGAGAAACGTTGATCAGTTGCCTCTCGCACACCCCCAGCTAGGGACCTGGCCCGCAACCCAGGCACATGCCCTGACCAGGAATGGAACTGGCGACCTTTTGCTTTGCACAATGCCCAACCCACTGAGCCACATGGGTCAGGGCACAATTTTGAACTCCTTTCAAATGACACCATTGGAAATTATCATTTAGCCCGCTGGCCCTCTTAATTTCCCCCCAAAGCACATCTAGTGGTTTTTGTGGAATAGCAAAGTGAAACTGAGCAGCCGCTCACCCTGTGTGTGAGGCCGAACTGTAGACCTGCTTCCTGTTAAGACCGTACCGGAGACCAGCATGATCGCTTACCTGGTCGCTTTCGAGAACTATCATCCACATGTATTTGTTGAAAAACTACACTTATAGTTGCCATTTTATCCCTTGTAGCACTATTTTTTAATTTTTGCTTTCTTTTGGTCTGGAAGGTGTTTTGTTGGTTTGTTTAATGTATTTTTTTGTTTTGTTTTAGGTGACTATGAAAGGCTTGTATTTTCAACAGAATTCTCCAAATGAAGAAATAACATTTGTATTTCAGGAAAGGGTAAGAAAAATTGTTTAATCACTAAACAAAACAAGAAAGCTGTACTTACCCAGGTCTTCGGGGTCTGTTAGTGGAACTTCAGTGAAACGCCACACATTCCTTTCCTTTGATCGTGTGTGGCGGCGGTGGCTCCTGTTGTAGCACTGCTACATTGTCAAAAGAGTTGCAGCAAAGGAGTTTTTCGTTCTCTGGGATGTTGGCATAACAAAATACCAGGAATGCAGAACAGCCTTAATATTCTTATACGTTGCCAAATTAACTGAACTTACTCAGAATACCACAATCAAGTGAGTTTCCAGACTGTTGCACTGTCCCAGAAGATGCGCCTTCTCACGCTGTGAAGTGAGCGGTGGAAAAGCACCGGTTCCCACGCTGCTTTCTGAGCTTGGTGGGGTCACCTCACCCGCTGGGCTGTGGGTGGTTTCTTGTTCATTACCACTTCAGGTGGAGATGGTGGAATGTTCATGTGTCTGTAGTTGTTTGAAAGGTCTGTGGCCAAAATCACTCCAGCGTGGGAGCCACGCTGTCTGAGGTTTAGATTCCTCACCTAAATGATTTCGGACTTGGTGGGAGATAACAGAAAAATGGGATTGCGTTCATAATCCAGGAATTCTTACTGCACTAGGAAATACACAGCTGTGACATACAAACAGTACGTACTTTTCACCCCTAAAGTTACCTCTAAGATTTGGGGACTATTTAATTTTGTTTAATTATGTTTGAACATTTTCTCAGCACAAAGACATGGTCTCAAGAGAATGTGTCATATTTTGTCATCGTTTGCTTGCAGGAGAATCCCCTTGTCACAGAGGAGAACTACGTGAAGCTCCAGGTCAAAGCTTGTGCTCTGAGCCACATAAACACGAAGGTATTTCTGTTTTTGTTTTGGCCAAAGTCAGATGAGAGTTTTGTAGTATGTTGTTTACGAGTATATTAGAATGATAACTAACTTCTGAGTGCCAAGAAATTTATTATCATCCTTAGAAAAATAGAATAGCTAGGAAAAAAGATTAATGTGAATTTGTATATTTTGATATTAAAGTATTAGTCTAATTGAAGTTATAATTGTATATTATTATATAAAAATACCTTACAAACTCCTTTATATTGTGAAAGGCTGATGGTTTATAATTACTAAGGCCTGTACTCAAGAAAGAAAATACTATGATAAATACAGTAAAAATATAAAAATCTAATCAACGGATTTATGAACTATTTCATAGACATTTCTAGTTAACGTCTTTGAATAGCGTTCATATCCTCCCTGTCCTGTCTCTCTCTCTCTCTCACACCCCTCAACCTCACACTGCCCCAGGCCTCGTCTGTCATTGACCATGAAGTACATGGAACATCTCCAATGATGAGCCAGGGTGGACGCGCTGTGATAAACATAGCAGGCGCGTGCACTTAATTATTTAAAAATCAATAGCACAGTTTTACTGGACACCTAAGTCCTTGGATTATAATGTCACCATAATTTCTAGGAATCAAAATAAAAAATTTCCGCCAGGAAGTCACATTAGAGAACTTAGAGAACAGAGTTCTAGGTGTTCGTGGGCAACTCTGTAAGGCAGCCTTGAGAAATGAGCCGGTGAGGTGCCCTTCACCGGGGACAGTAGTCCTAGTCCTTGTCACCAGGGTTCTGGGCTCAGCCCTGCCAGGGTGTTCTTTTGAAAGCTATGAAAAATTCATTAAAATCCCAGTCTGGGAAAAAATAAAGAGACAAACAGGCTTCTCTCACAATCTCTACTTAGCATTGCTGGGTATACTGGAGGCCCCAGATGGTACAAAAAGCAAGAAAAAGAAATAAAAGATACAGCAAATGGAAAAGAAAGAGAAAACAATCCCAGTGTAAGAAATCATCTCCTGTCTATCTGAAACAAATAGTAGAGTAAAATCAGTTCAACGAACTATTGCACAACTGTTGAACGCGACAGCCATGAACACCGTGGTGACGTGAGAAAACGCTCATGGGAGGTGTGGGAGGCCTGCCCGAGAGCCCGGGGGCGTGCGGTGAGGCACCCGGTATTTCTGTGCAGGTGCCGTCCCAGCAAGAGCGCTCACTCCACGGGGCAAGAGAGGCTTTTCTGGCAATTGAATAGTTATAGATCTAGATGTTGAAAGATAAAAAGAATATATAAGAGAATCATTTCCATTTTTTTTTTTTGCTTACTGTTCCTAAAACACTTGATACCTACAAATATGTTCTGTGGCTCTGGTATTATTATAAAAGCATGAACTTGAAATTATATGGCAGTTTTCCTCTGTATATCCATCACCTCTTCCCCTGTGCTTCTTGACCCAAGACTTGCGAGGAACACTCAGTTGACCTTAAAGGGAGTGAGAATCAGGAGCCTTCTGTTCTCATTAGCCAGTTCCCTTACTCATCAACATCGTTCCCAGGCCCCCCTCGCCCCACCCAAAGGAGTTGTCTGGCAAATTTGGGCTGTAATTTCCCTTCATGTTTGGCAGAGTAAAGATGCTAAACAAAGTGTGTTCGTGGTGATGTGGACACAGATCCTCACACTCGAATTATTAGTCAGTTAATTCTTCAGCAGATTCTCGATCTCTTTCTCTATGGAGAAACTTAGGCTGTGAAGTTATTTGCTTTGTCTTTATTCCAAAACTGAATCCCATTTGCCTTTTTTGTGGTTTCTCTTGCTTTCTTATATGAGAAGCCAGGATTTATTTTTGACAGTAATCAGCTTTTGTCATGGTTTAGCTCCTGGCAGAACTGAAGATGGAGAAAGAGTTCTTTCCTGTTGGAAGAGAAGTTGCTGGCATCGTGTTAGATGGTAAGTTCCCCGCTGTGCACATGTGCATGGACCACACGGCAGCTGACTGGGTGCTGGCACATGCAATCATACACACTTCTCCGAGTGCACAATTTAATGACACGGAAGTGTTTTCCTTTTTTAAATTAAAAGCAAACTAGAACTTAACTGGTGTTTTATACTTAAAGAACTTATACTTTAGTAAGTACTTGAGTATTATGTACTTAGAGCTGCAAGTGATCACATCGAATAGAATGACCAGTGTTGTCCTTTTTATCATGTTTACAAAGTAGCATAAATTACTTCTGTAAGTTGGCTTTAGGGCAAAATTTGCATAACAGTAATTACATTCACATTAAAACTTATTATTATTTTCTACTTATGTCGAGAAAGGGGGAGGGTGGGAGAAAGGTGGAGAGAAACATCGACTGGCTGCCTCTCTGCAGTCCCCAACCAGGAGCTGGGTCCCCCCCCCAGGCCTGTGCCTGACCAGGAATCAAACCGGTGACCTTTCACTGTGCAGGATGGTGCTCAACTAAAGGAGCTACACCGGTCAGGGCTCACATTAAATTTTAAAGTTTGAGTAAAATTGAGCATTTGAAAGTTAAGCAGTTTGGTTCATCTAAAAAATGGGCTCTGGGGAGAAGTAACTTATATATAAAATTTTATGATTGCCTTAAATTTTAAAAAAATGTTTTACTGAGTAAGTAATGGTTTTAACATGCAGGACAGTAAGCTAATTACTTGAAATAGTAATTCGTTTCTGACCAGCCATATTCACTGCTAAAGGAAGTTTATGACTAATGAGTATACAGCTGCTCTTTCTGCACGTGTGAATGAGTGCGTAACATAATGGGTCGGAGACTATCTGAGGTTTGCCTATAATTTTAACCCACAATATATTTGATACTTTTTCTCCATGTAATCTTCTAACATAGCTAAATTATAATTTCATTACCCCTCCTTTCTTCTACTTGTAATGTAGGGAAATAAAAGTAAGAATTGTAATAGCCAGAAGATGAGTAAACCATTTATTTACTCATTTATTCTGTATTTAATGAGCATTTGCTAAGTGCTTGGTATATGAAGAGAAGTAAGATAAACTCCCTGCCCTCAAAGTGGTCACAGTAGGGCCAAGGCAGGCCCATGCCTGGTAGTGGCCTACTGGGGGCGCTCTGAGGACAAGGCCGGCCCAGGGACCAGGAGCAAGGAGGCTTCTTGGAGTCAGCGGGGAGATGTGGGGCCGGAAGGAGGGGACTCACTCAGCCGAGAGCGAGTCATGGACAAAGGCACAGAAGCAAGTGAAGAGGTGTGTGTGAGAATTCAACTAAAGGAGGGATTACAGAGTTTGGTGGCGGAGGTAAGACATGTGGCACAGAGAAACATTTTGTCCAGAAATTCTCCTTCAAACATAGAAGATCGAGAACCAAATATTTTATGCATGATACAAATACTGATTCCTCTCCCTGCCATCCACAAACTGAGATAAGTGGGTAGGCCAGGGCCAGCCCGGAGATGAGCCGCCTCCGCCCACCAGGGTTTTCAGGGAGGCCGTTGGAGCAGCCACAGGAAGGGCAGACTGGAGCAGACCAGGCTGTAGGTAGGAGGACCAGTCGGGTGGAGACCAATAGACAAAAGGCGACAGAGTCCGTAACCTAGAGAGGGAGGCAAAGGCGAAGAAGACAGATGTATGTGAGAAGTATTAAGGAAGTAAAGTCAGCAGGGCTTAATGATGGACTGGAACTGAGAGTTAAAGGCAGGTGAGAGCCAGTCGTGACTTACAGGATTCTGGCTAAGGTAGGAATTGGTGCCACCAGTTGATAAGGGAAGAGGATGTGATTAGGAGGAAGACGGGGAGTTTAGATTTAAGGTGGCTGAGCTCAAGGTCCATCAGTGATAACCCATGGGAGGGGTCTGGGAAGCAGCGCTGTGCCTTTAAGCTCAGAGTTGTGAGAGGCGTGTGCCAGACATGTGTGCATCCGAGTTGTCGGTGTGTAGGTTATGTTTAAGCGATGGTGATAATGAACTCACCCGGGAGGTGGCAGAACTGAAGGTGAAACAGAGGCATGGCTCGGAGCCCTGGGCACACCGCCGTCCGAGGGATGGTCAGAAGGAGTGTGAAGGAAGCCAGGACTAAAGGGTCGGAGTGACCCCAAAAGGGGGGGGCAGGTAGCAGGCGGGAAAGGGAAAGGTGCAGCGATCAGAGCCCCCACCGGAGGGTGCTGGCTCAGGAGGGACCCAGAGAAGCAGCAGGGACCGGAGGACTGGACCAGGTGCCGTAGACGCAGAGGCCCTCATCGGGTGGAGACAGGCGCTCTGGGGCTGCCGCGATGCCAGAGCCGGCCAGGTCCACCCAGTGGCAGGCTTCGCCTGCCTTCACGGCCTCCGCTGTGTTTGCCCGCGAGTCCAGCTGGGATCACGACACCACGCTGGGCTGGCCGTGAGGTGAAATGGGATAACACACGAAAATACTGGACGTGGGGCAGTCAGGTCGATGGGCGGTGTCCCCTTTCCTCCCGGGAGGATCGGGAAACAGTACTCCAGAGAACCGACTGGTGGGGGAGGGTTTTCTCCACATGAGCAGAGAAAATGTAGCTATCATTTCTATGTAGCTTCAAAAAGTTCTTGGCACCAGTCTGAATTTATTTCCATAATCCCAAATCAAAGTAAGGTTATATGTGACTTTTACCAAGATTTCCTTTTGAGTGTCTTGAAATTCTGCAGTTAAAATAATGATACTAGATAGAGCCGCATGAAGGGTAAGGAGCGGCGTAACCAGGGGTGCTGTGGGGTGGCCCGTTTCCTTCACCCCTTCACCCCTTCACCCCTAGCCGAACAGAAACACAGCTTTCTCCTTACTGTCAACAGGCACATGGCCCAGAGTTTGTAGACAATTTTGTAGAGGGTCCACATTTGAACTGTGCTATGAAGCGGTCCTTATAGACCAAAAGGCCAAGTGTCCTACAAGTGCTTGGCCTTTTCTCTGAGTTAGTGACTTTTTATAAACCCATGGATCTTTTTATTTTAATAGTTAAATAAGAATTATGTTTAATACCATCATCATACTAATTATTACTTTACTCTTTAGTTGGAAGTAAGGTATCATTCTTTCAACCAGATGATGAAGTAGTTGGTAAGTTACTTATTTTATTATTGTTTCTTTTTTCCTGTATAATTATTATTGTTTGTTGTGATGCTGTTTCATACACAAGTACTTTCCTGATTGTTGGAATGTGCTCTCAAAATGTCTATTAACAAAGAGAATTGGGAGTTCAGTCTCAGTAGCAGAACACAAAACTTTTCCGTGTCTGGCTGTAGAACAACATTAGAGCTAAAAAGCCGACCACAGGCCACAGAGGGCTGGCGCCCTCTGCCACCAGGGCCCCAGCCCCTCGGACCGCGGGGGCTCTGTAGGGCGCCCTGGGTGTCTCTGAGGGAACCGTGCAGGACCGTCCCGTCGCCTCTTGTAGAACTCGGAGTGTGCTGGGCACACTATGTACTGTTTTGTTAATCCATAGTTAATGCTACTTTGCATACATATGTGTATGTCTTTAAACTTATATCCTAGACAGTCACATGAACATATGGAATCTTACCATTTCTTTGTAGAAAATGCTTATAAGAAGATATTCATGGAAACGTAGAAAATGTGTAACTTTATGGCATGCTTCAGGCCGTTAAGAATACATCCATAGGGATGTTTTTTGTTAGCTTCTTAACGATACTGCCTTTGACTCGTGTATTTTCTTGAAGAATTTTTTTCTGTCATCTTTTTCATCTGGCCGAGAGGTCAGTAACACTGTATTTATTGCTTCTGGTGCTTCTTGTACGAGACTGAAAATGCAATCGGTCAGTTAGGAGACGGTGCAGTCTCACTGGGAGCGCACCGAGGCACCTTCGGGACCAAACTGTGCGGCAGGGGCGACTTTCAGGGGGAGCCTCAGTGCCCACTCGGTCTGAATCAGCCGCTGTCTTCGCCGTGCCTCCGAGGCGAAGGAACAGGGGGCAAAGGAGGGACAAAGCACTGGTGGCGTGGTGTCCATGTCGGAGAACGGAGTCCCCACTTCCCGTTCTTGATTCTGAAGTCCTGCTCTCCCTACTCTGGTCTGCACAGGAGCCCCCTCAAAATCCCACTGCACAGACCTCAGACTCCTCCTCCCAGCAGCTCATGGTCCTGAACCCACTCACTCGGTTGGTGGTTGTTTCCCTGACGTGTCCTGTTGTGACTTCCAGGTATTCTCCCCCTGGACTCTGAAGACCCCGGGCTCTGCGAGGCGGTCCGTGTGCACGAGCACCACTTGGGTAGGTATCCCTGGAGCTCGGGGAGCCCTGCTGCCGGCTGCTCCTGCAGCCCCACTGGCTCGGGCCTCGGTGTCAGAGAGCCCGTGTGCACAGCACATGAACACCCACGGTGCGGAGACCTTCTGGTCTCACTTGCATGGCTCCTGGTGAGAGGCTTCAAAAGCAATATCTCTCCCTGAAATTATGTCCCTAATTCGAATTTTTTAATTTCTTATTTATGGTTATTAATTGAAACTGGAAAGGTTAATTTAAACTTTTTTAATTAAAAAAATCTAGACAATCCATGTAGAGTCTGAGACAGACAGCAAAGAATCAAGGACACTTGTCTTTGGCTTCTGTCGCTAGTATCTTCTGACAGGTATTCGGTTTTACTGAAATGTTGTTTTCTAGTTTTTCTCACAGTGATTTACTTGAATATTTAAATCAGAATCAATACAAACACACACACACACTTAATGGAGCCATCGAGAAGAGGTGCCGCACCTCCTAGTAGTCAGGGAAAAGCACCTTATAATCACTTAGACATGTCAGTGTGCGTCCACAGAGCAGACACGTTTATAAAGCCTGACCATTGCAGGGTCGGCAAGGATGCGGGCCCACCAGACTTCCCATGTGCCCGGAGTGTAAATTGGTGCAAACGCATTAGGAAATAATGCTGCCTTGTCCAGTAAAGGTGATGACACACGCCCAGACCTGCTAATCCCACTGGTAGTGTTGTGTCTCACGGAAACTTGCTGTCCAGCAGCAGACGTGCTCAGGAGTTCAAAACAGCTCGGTGTGTAATTGTGGACTAAACCCGGGAACAGCCCACGTGTTTTTCACCAGGAAAATGGATAACTAAGGACATTCCCAGGCAGTGATTCAATTCAGCAAGGAAAATGCATCAATAACAGAAGTGTACAGATGGATGAATCTCACAAACTCAGAGTAGGCCAAAGTAGGTTTACAGTTGTTCATATGAAAAATAGTACAATAATTAACAAATAATAATACAAGAATAAATGTGAGTATTTGCATACTCACAACTGTAAACCTACTTTTTTTTTTAAATCGGTGAATTTTTTTAAAAGATTTTATTTATTTATCTTTAAAGGGGAAGGAAAGGAGAGAAGGAGAGAAATATCAATGTATGGTTGCCTCTCCTGCGTCCCCTGCTGGGAATTGGCCTGCAACCCAGCCATGTGCCCTGACTGGGAACCAAACTGGGGTCCTTCGGTTCTCAGGCCCGTGCTCAATCCACTGAGCTACACCAGCCAGGGCTGTAAACCTACTTTTGCCCCACCCTGTATTGAATGACCAAAGCAAGAATACAAACAGTGTGATACCATTTATTTCTATAAAGTTCAAGCAGATAACAAACTTAAGTATAGCTTCTTTAAGGATATAAAGAGAAAATGTAGGAATGAAAAATCGTGGGAGGTCCCCTCTTTGGACGAGGCAGAGGGCTTGGCCAGAGCGGCCTGCCAACCACCCATCTCCTTCCGGTTCACGGGTTCACGATGGACACTATTTTGTGTTCTTCAACTCTTACCTCAAAACTCTTCCAACATTTTTTCGTAAATGACACAACCCTTAATAAGACCTTGGGGGGACAGAAGGCCAGTTTGTTTGGGTTTGGATTTTAGACCATCAAAAACAATAAATTTGCCCTGGCTGGTTGTAGCTCAGTGGATTGAGCACGGGCCTGCGAACCAGACAATCGCGGTTCAATTCCCAGTCAGGGCACATACCGGGGTTGAAGGCCGGTTCCCAGCAGGGGATGCACAAAAGGCAACCACACATTGATGTTTCTGTCCCTCTCTCCCTCCCTTCCCCTCTAAAGATAAATAAATAAAATCTTTTTTAAAAAAATAAATAAATTTATACATTTGAGTCCATACGAATTTGAATGGGGTAGCAAATCTTTGGCATTTCATTTCTGAAGTTGTAAATTGTAAGTAATTTATATTTAAGTCAATAGTATTTACTATGTCATTTACTATAAAATTTCCAAGTAATACTATAATATTTTATTAAAAATTAATTTCATAATGTAGTTTTCCAAAAATCTGAGGCCTGTGCTTACTTATACATATTTTAAGACTATATCTGGAACAAGTATGTGTCTTCCTTTAAAAGATAAAGATTGGTGCTGGCTGGTGCGGCTGAGCAGATTGAGCACCACCCTGGAAACCAAAGGGTCACCAGTTCAAGTCCCAGTCAGGGCACATGCCTGGATTGCAGGCCAGGTCCTCAGTAGGGGGCGTGTGAGAGGCAACCACACATTGGTGTTTCTCTCTCTTTCTCCTTCCTTTCCCCCCACTCTAAAAATAAATAAATAAATAATTTTTTTTAAAAAAAGGAAAGATAAAGCTCGCCCTGTGATACCATGCAGTAAGTCGCTGCTCCCTTGCTGTTTTAAAATTACTCAATTTGAAAATTGAGGACCAACTCTGGACCCTTTATGGGAAATGGCACAACTTTTTTCTCTCACCTGCGGATATTTTTTCATTGCTTTTAGAAAGAAAGGGAGGGGAGACAAATGTCAGAGTGAGAGGTCAGTTGCTTCCCATGTGTACCCAGACCAGGGATCAAACCCGCAGCCTCTCTGTTACAGGGTGATACCCAACCACCTGAGCCACACCGGCAGGGCAAAGTGTACAGTTTTGACCCCAGAGTGTCTCTGGGCCCTTGTTGCCCTGTCGTTTTGAGAAACTTGTGAAAATACGAAGTCAACTAAAACCTGCACTTTGGATTCCTGGGCTCAAACTGGGGCTAAGTCCCCTAAATTGAATTGTTTAGGAACAAACACAAAATGCCCGTTTCTGTAGGCACTGCTGAACACTGGGATAATTATGGAACGGGCCAGAAGGAGACATGCAGACGAGAAAATCAAAAGTTTTCTAGCTCTAAACTGAAGCTGAGATAAGCAAACCGCACAAATGGCTTTTGTTTTGCAAGAAATCAACATGACGGTAGTCCAAAATTACACAGACACATAGGGAACATAATTCCAGATGTTACTTGAAAAAGAAGATACAGATAAATGATCCTTTAAAAGAAGTACTTCAAGAATGACTAGTTCGTAATTGTGTGTGACCGCTAGCCAAGACCCTGGGTGCAGGACCGTGTCCGTGAGCCAGGGCGCCAGACCGGGCGAGCTCTAAGCTGTGTCGCAGCTCTGACGTTTCGTGAGAGGGAAGTCAGTTCCGTTTGTCCCTGCAGATCTGCGGGGTAGCCTCTCGCACACCAGCCTCTGTTTCCATTACTGTTAGTTCTCTGATGATTCCTTTCCCGAGGGCTCAGCGCACTCAGCCAGCTTCCAAGAAGCCTGTCGTCCCACCAAACAAGCACTGAGTTTCAGACACCCCCGAACTGTCCTACTCATCCTGTTGGGGAACCGTGAGGGTAGAATGAAGAAACTGAGAAATTCTTCCAGCTCCTTTATGCTTTCAGTTCTAAAGCCATTCTGTCAAACATAATAGTAATTCTTTTTCATTCAAAAGAAATTTTTTAAAGATTTTATTTATTTATCTTTAGAGGGGAAGGGAAGGAGAGAGGGAGAGAAACATCAATGTATGGTTGCCTCTTGGGTGTCCCCTGCTGGGAACTGGCCCGCAACCCATGCACGTGCCCTGACTGGGAATTGAACCGTGATCCTCTGGTTCGCAGGCCCGCGCTCAATCCACTGAGCTACACCAGCCAGGGCTCATTCAAAATTTGACATGCATTTGCAGCATTGTTCCTTTGGACCTAAAGTGGAAAGAATTGAAATGATCTTTCTTGGGTTCCAATTCACTGTCATTATCAATCCATACATGGGTCTCTATTTATACTTATTATTTTTATCTTATATTTTTGTGTTATTAAAAAACATGTATATTATTCATCAGTTTTTATAACAAACAGCACATAACATAAAAGCGTAGATCTTGACATTAAACCACATGTAACAGTGCAATTTCATAACCTTTGTGATCTTAAGTGTAGTGGGCTTCTTTGTGTTTTAAGATTTTATTTTATCTATTTTTTTAGAGAAAGGCGAAGTGAGGGACAAAGAGAGGGAGAGAAACACCAGTGTGTGGTTGCCCCTCATGCACCCCCTACCAGGGACCTGTCTGCAACCCAGACATGTGCCCCGACTGGAAATTGAAACCCGTAATCCCAGTTTGCAGGCTGGCGCTCAATCCACTGCGCCACACCTGCCAGGGCTTAAATGTAGTTTCATTACTGTTAGCATTTTTTAAGGACCACCTGTTACATTTTTTTAATAAAAATATGTAGTCACAACTCTGGTAATGGGACATGTTCTCCAAAAATTCCATGTAAGTAAATTGTATGTAAATTGAGCATATACTCTTGGGGAAGATGTGCTTTAGAGTCAGACACTCGAACTAATTAGCTACAAGTCCTCAGACAAATAATTCTGAGAAATGAGTCGTCAGGTGAGTTCGTTGTCATGTGAACGTCATGGAAGCTCTTAGGCAAACCCGGATGGCACAGCCTGCTACCCTCCTGGGCCCTGCCCCTGAGCATCCGTAGCAGCGCTGTATGTAACCGCCCAAAGTCCGCACAGCCCGTGACTGTACAGAACAACAGGAGAGCACACGATGCAGGCCAGGGGCGCAGTGAACGTGCCGCGTGCGCCGCCCCTGCAGGTGTGGCGGCGTACTGCTCGCAGCACGTCTGTTTCATAAGCAGGAAGAGCCCACTGTGAAATAACGATAAACATGTAGCAAATCCACAAAACAGAAGCAAAGACGTTTATCCCCGGTGTCCAGCGTACCGTCCGGCACGTAAGTGCGTGTGCTGGCCACGCAGGAGACTCATCCGTACCAGCCTCACTGCAAACACGGGAGTCCCGGGTGTTGGGGGACGTCAGGACGGCTCCGCGGTCACGGGCGATGGGAAGTTTCCAACTCCGTCATAATATTACGGGGTTATAAGTCATCCCGCCATCACCTGTGTGGTCTGTTGTTCGGCAACACGTGAGTGCTCAATGTTTTCCTGTGACTGCCCTGCTCGTCTGTTTAAGAGCTTCAACTTGTGTGCTCGGATGCTCATCTTCCCCACTAGATGGCACTCGGTAATTGGTAAAAGCCGGGTTCATTCGTGCCCCACCACCTGAGTCTATTGCCATCAGAGGAAAAATATTTGAAAGAGCTCATAAAGACTGTGAAAAGTGCTATAGAACTGACTCTAAGTTAAGTCAGCAAGGATTTATTGTGCTGTGAAAAGACCACATTCAGTGTCCGACATAGAAACAAAACAAAAGTTAAATAATTAAACATAAGAGCATGAAGGTCAGATAGAGAGACCTCTCTAGGCCGTACGGCAGGAGGAGTTTGCACTTGCTTCCACGTGCGGTGGGAAGGCACCGGTGACTGAGGCAGAGGAGTGTGAGGGTGCTGTTGTGTTTTTAAGAGATCATTTTGATACTTCTCTGTTTTTCAAAGACACTTTAAAAGATTCAAAAGAAAGAACAAAGTTGAAACTAATATTTATAACACATAAACAAGTACATAATTCACTTAGAATATGTAAAGAATTCCTATACTCAATAAGAAAACACAATAGAGCCCTAGCTGGTGTAGCTCAGTGGCTGCAAACCAAAGGATCACCAGTTCAATTCCCAGTTAGGGCACATGCCTGGGTTGCGGGGCCAGGTCCCCAGTGGGGGCCATGTAGGAGGCAGCCACACATTGATGTTTCTCTAACTCTCTCCCTCCCTTTCCCTGTCTAAAAATAAATAAAATCTTTAAAAATAAAGAAAACACAATAGGAAAAAATGGATTAAACACTTGAACAGTCGGCTCACTAAAGGAATTCCAGGTGGCCAAGAAACAGAGAGGTGCTCAACTCCATCAGCAGCGAGGGAAAAGCAAGTTAAAATCACAGTAAGAAACCATCCCACACCACTCAGTTGGCAAGAATGTGTGACAATACCAAGGGCTGACAAGGGTGTCGGAAGCAACAAGCGCTCACGCACCGCTGGGGGAGGCGGAGTTTACAGCGGCACTTGGGGCACGTGCAGTGAAGTGGGCGGCGATGCCCCAGGATCTGAGGCCTCCATTCGAAGGAAACATCCTCGAGAAAACGTGTGTGCCATGTAACACTTTTCTATAAGAGCATTCTTAGCAGCACTGCGTGCAACGGCCCCAAACTGGAAACCACACAGATGTCCCTCGACTGGGGAACGGCAACCGCAGGCAGGTGTCCTCACTTAGTGGAACCCCACAAAACAGGGCGGAAGCACTGCGCGTGCAAAAAAAGGGGTGTCTCAGAAACAATGGGGAGCACAGAAGAACACAAAAGAATGCGTCTAGGTGTGATTCCATTTAGGCGAAGTTCAACAACAGGCAAAACTGGCTTATATTGTTTAGGGATGAAGGCTTGAGTGCTAAGCTATGGGGGCAAATGAGAAGTTACAGTGGTGGTGCCCTGTGATGTCAATTACAACTCAACTAAAAAAAAGAATGGTGGCGACCTCCAGGGAGGACGAGGTGGTTGGGGTGAGTGGGTTGTGCATGGGCAAGAATGGAGGCAGGGACCAGGTCCCGGACAGGGTGGGGCAGAGGGGAATGGACAGAGCCAGGAGGTAGGACCAGCAGGACTTACTAACAGATGGTTTCCTGTCGTTCTCTGTGACAGTTCACAAGCCAGAAAAAGTCTCGTGGACAGAAGCGGCCGGCACCATCCGGGACGGAGTGCGAGCCTACACAGCTCTGCACTACCTGTCTTCCCTCTCCGCGGGAAAGGCGGTGCTGATCATGGACGGAGCGAGTGTGGGTGCTGGTAGATTTGTTCAGGAACAGCGCGGTAAACCTGGGGAACAGGCGTCCACAATACTAATAGAAGTTTTTTGCCAGTAGCTTATTTTATTATTTTTTTTTACCAAACTTCTCTTTTGTTGAAACAAGCAGCTTTTGTCAATGAGAGTAGTTAGACTCAGTGAGTTTAGTCTCTTCTCGCTTGGAGCCTACCAGTGTATTAGAAAAGCACTGTCGCCATGCCCACTGCGCAGAGCCCGTGACAGCTCCGGAAGGCGTTGATGCCGTCCCCCAGAGCTCCCACCAGTGCCACGTCACACCTCTCCCACTGATGGGAATGTGATGTGGCATTTGCGGGTGGACTGCACAGCATCACAGACGTGCTCACTTGAACATTTTACAGGTATTAGCAAAAGAAATTGACACTAAGGGCAAACAGATAGAAGTATAGCCTGAAAATGTTAAAGAACCTGGAGTGAATTTATGGTTTAATTTCTATGTGGCTGTTGATGAGAATGCTGTCCTTGAAAAGGCAGAACTGCCTGGAGCAGTGGGTTCAGCCTGTCGTGCAACCCCAGGCTGGCCACCCAAGGAAGCACAGAGCTTCCCAAGTGCCTCCATCAGCCAGGCACAGCAGCTGGGCGTGCACACCCATTGCACGGTGAGCTGAGGTCGTGGTGGCAACGAGGCCCTGCCAGCCCGTCGTTCTGGCTCCAGGGCCATTTGTGAGCGCAGCCCTGCATCCTTGCAGTCACGTGCTCTGTCCTGCTCAGTCCACCTGGGCGAGAGCGAGTGGCACCCTTCAGAGGAAAAGTCAGTCGAGTGTTTCATCCCATGAAACCTCACCATGCTTTTTCCTTCGGTCAGATAACACTTAAAAACACAGTGAAGCACCACTGAGGTACCGCACTTCACTGAACCGCCTGTGTGATGGGGGAGATGTGGCCTCTGCCCTCCGACTGTAACCCCGCCGTGTTTCCTCCACACAGCCGCTCGGTACCATCGCCATTCAGCTGGCGCTGCACCGCGGGGCCAGAGTGATCTCGACGGCAGGCAGCCTGGAGGACAAGCAGCACCTCGAGAGACTCCGGCCTCCCATAGGTGGGCGGCGCTGCTCCAGACTTGAGAAGAACGTTTTGAAGGTGTAGCCCCTTAAGAATTGTGCTGATAAAACAAAGCACAAAATCCCAAATGAAAGTCACTTGAAAAATGTACTTAGTGTCTATGCTAAGTTTACTTAAATGATCGTTTTAATTAGAAATTGTCTTTTAAATGTGCATCTTTCAATGTTGTTTTCTTCTTTGCCCCGTTGTTATCACCGTAGCCAAGTTTGAATCAGGTGCACTCTGCAAGTTTGGAAAAACCTGGTGCTGCTTTAGTTTTCAGCAGTGTATTGGTTCGTGTTTGCCTCACCTCATGTGTGTCGCACCCTGTGACCTGCCTGTAAAGTTGCCTGGTCCCTGCAATGCGACAGGGAGGGATCTGAGGCCCCTCCACAGAAACCTGGCAGCAGAGATCCCGTCTCTGCTGCGTGGGTCGTGGCGGAGGCGCGGGAGCCCTTGAGGAGACTGACTGTATCTGGACAGCAATGAGCGGAGGAAAAATAGGTTGAAAAGGAAGGGAGAAAGCTAGGAGTGGAACGGAATAGAGCGGAGTTACAGAATTAACGTCCGAGTTTAGCCGATGAGAAGAGGGTGGGCAGAGTGTCGCAGACAGGCGGGCAGGCAGCAGCTAAGCAGTGTTTGTGAGGCGTTAATGTGGACGGTATCACTGCGAGTCCTTAACCCTGCGAGCAACTGGAAGCAGCCTCTCGGCGAACGTAGCCAGTTCGCCCAAGGACGCGCATTTAGAGAAGTGCTGGCGCCGGGCTGGAACCTGGGCCTGTCCGCATTACAACTCCTGTTGTGTCCACTGTTTCGTTAAGCGTCTGGCAGAGATAACCAAGAAATGGGAGGAAGGTTAAGGCAGGGGCTGAAGGAGGAGGAAAACAGGAAAAATAGAAAAAAGATTAAAAATAGGGGAGAAAACATGAATGGTGTTATTAAATGTAACTTCATTTGCCACTTTCAATTCTGAGTTAATTCTCTCATTGGCTTGTTCTATTAATATATTTTAACCAATTAAAATTAGTTAATTTTCCACTTGCTGTACTAAAAACAATTTTAAAAATGCTTTTTTTCCTTCTTTGTTTTGGAGAGCAGCTAGGGCAGGTGGGGGTTTCTGCGACTGGGAAAGGATAAAACAGCCTCAAATAGAGAAATGCCGGCCTCGCCTGTGGTCCAGACTCTCGGCCGTGCAGTCGCAGCCACAGAGAGCAGGCTTCTGGGCAGCAGACTGGCCTCAGGACAGTGTCCACAAGTTGCTCGTCTTGAGTCTAGTTTCAATACTGGTCCCTTCGTTTAAATTGATCCTTACCAACACTGGGTTAGACGAAAACCAGTATAATTTGGATTCAGTAATTGTTTGAACCACTCAGTTCATTTCAGAAAACAGACAGTTGCTTTTCCTTTTCCTTGATTTGCCTGTGCTGACTGCGTAGAGAGCAGCACAGTCGCCTGACTCGCTGTCCTTCACAGCCCGAGTGGTCGACGTGTCGCTCGGGAACGGCCGTGTGGCTGAGAGCTGCTTAGAAGAAACAGGGGGCCTGGGAGTCGACATCGTCCTGGATGCCGGAGGTGGGCACGTGACCAGATCAGTAGTTTGTGTGATGTTGTTATGACTGAACCTTAGAAAAAATGTAAATCATATCTGTGTGTGTGTGTGTCTGGAATTGTGTATATATGTATATATATATTGGGGTAGACAAAAGTAGTTTGTAGAAGAAAAATAACACAAATAATACAGTAATTAGTAAAGAAACAATAATACAAAAGTAAACTGTGTTTTGAATATTCACAACTGTAAACTACTTTTGCCTACCCCTGTGTATATCCAGGAAATAATTTTTAACATATTTATTAAGTTGATGTTATTCATGTTTAGTTTAGTTTTTTTTAACTTTTATATTTATGTTGGCACTTCTTCATTTTATTCTCTTTGTAAACTCTGTCTGGAATGGAAGACACGCTTGCCCTTTAAGATACAGGCATTAGAGTGTAAGGGTCCCTGCAGGTGTCTACAGACACGCTCTCCTCCACGCCTCCCCCATGACACAGTCGCTCACGGCTCAGCCAGGCTCTTCCTCAGTTTTGCTATGTACATCCCTCCACTGGACGGTGGACTCCTACAGTCTCTGCTGGAAAACACACGGCTTTCTGTTCAGTTTGCCCCTCCCTTGAGCCCCAGGAGTCTAGCAGCTAGACATCTGTGTACCACCCGAGTTGTGCACATAGGGGGCGCCATGTCACCTCAGGGAAGGTGTCCCAGGCCCGCGGAGGTCCACACTTCCTCAGAGCTTGCCCTCTGCAGGGGGGGGTCCCAGGTGACTGCAGCTACACGTGCCCGTCACACGGGTTTCTTTTTAACCAGTGTTTCGGGATCTGAAATTAACCCACGGACCTGTGCCTCATTAACTTTTCCAGGGGACATTTCACTAATTATGCCAAAGTATGACTCTCCCGAGTCTATGAGTTCCTTAATCAGAAGTCAGCTTTTCCCAAAGTGTTAAGCAACTGACGTTGAGGTTAAAAGTATCAGACTTAATTATATGTTGTACTACCTTGACTGGTTGTCAAATGAAAACAGACCTTTTCTCTTTAGTTATTTCACTTATAATTAAATCTGGAGTATACTTTATGACCAATCTTAATGCAAAAAAGTGTAGTTTAAGGTGTCTGAATACACTGGATTGACTTTTTCTAAGGAAAATGCTCTCTCATCCCTACATTAAAAAGAGCCCTGGGTGGGTGGCTCAGTTGGTTGGAGCATCATCCCCTACACAAAAGGTTGTAGGTTCAATTCCCGGTCAGGACATAAGCCTGGGTTGCAGGTTTGGTCCCCAGTCAGGGTGCGTACAGAAGGCAACCAATCAGCACGTCCTTCTCACACCAATGTTTCTCTCTCTCCCCCTATACTCCCTCATCTCTGAAATCAATAAATATGTCCGTCCTCAAGTAAGCATTAAAAAAAAAGTTAAGAGAACTTGTTTAAAGAATTTTCATAAGGTGACTAAAATATCTACCTCTTCTCTGTTTTAAAATTATCCCCTTCTAAGTGAGATTATACAGTGAAGATGATGAACCCGCCAGGAAGTTACAGCTGCCGCGTAAACATGACATCCTCACCCTGCTCGGTGTCGGAGGCCACTGGGTGACAACAGAAGAGAACCTGCAGGTAGTAACAGAAACGGCAGAGCATCACGTGCCACCCAAAGGACACAGTCAACACAGAGTGATGCCTACGTCTTTTGAAGGAAGATGTGGCTAAATTGGCGTAAATTCTGAATTAGACCCTATTTTTAAAGAAATATAGCTTTTTTTTTAACGTTAGCTACATGTTGGCCAAAATGTTGAAAGAGTGCCTAGTAGAGGGGTTCATTTAACTTTTATTTGGTGGTTTGGATGTAGTGACTTCTGAATTTAATCCTATTTCAAATAGGATTTTTGTCTTAGTAACAAATATTGACATGCACCTAGCAAAATATTTCTATATAAAAATCATCACAATTTCTTAATTATTCAAATTGGAATATACTATATATGTGTCTATACAGACCATCTCCCAAAACTACATTTCCTAACACAGTTGAAACTAAGTGTTTTATCATGGTTGCTGTGCCAACACCATAATTCTCACACACCAGTCTTCACGATTTTCCAACATTCTCGTGAAAATGACTTGTGCGTAGCAGCCAGGAATCACTCTCTGGTGTGCACACACATGCACACACGTGCACACGCACTCTACCACTCCAGCATCAGGATTCTGGTGTGGCCTTGCATCTGACCTTGCCAGTTCATCATTTTGGACAATGAAATGCAAAAGAAACCATGGTTTCCATATTGGTATTGATGTCTGTGTGTTGACTGTGACTTGGGCATCATCTGACTAGTGTAGAAGTCTTTCTCTGTCAAACTTGGCCTTGACCAGTCTTTGTGCTTCTGTCCAAGCTGGACCCTCCCGACTGCCATTGCCTTTTCCTCAAGGGAGCAACAGTGGCTTTCCTGAATGACGACGTGTGGAACCTGTCAAATGCACAACAAGGAAAATATCTTTATATCCTTTTTTTCTACTGACTTGAGTGTCTGGCTTGAAATTTACCTGGACTTTTATCAATAAAATATTTTTTTAAGATTTTATTTATTTATTCATTTCAGAGGGGAAGGAAGGGAGAGAGGGAGAGAAACACCAATGTATGGTTCCCTCTTCCGCATCCCCTACTGGGGACGTGATCTTCAACGCAGGCATGTGCCCTGAGTGAGAATCGAACTGGCAACCCTTTGTTTTGCAGTCCTGAATAAGTTACTTAATAATGGTAATAATGAATAATAGCAGCTGTCATAGGTCATGCCGAACATGCTCCAGGTGCTCTGCAGGTGGTTATTTACTGAACCATTGAAACTGCCCTGTGAGGTGGAGGCGTGGCTGTTACTGTCCCTGTTTCACAGGTACAGGACCGGATGGGCAGAAAGGCGCACACGTGCCCAGGGACAGAGGAGCAAGTGGTAGGATGGCGTCTCACCCAGGCAGCCCCGCTCCATTCTGCACGGGAGGTGACCCTACGTTACGTGGGCCATCTTGTTCCGTTTTGACCTGGCATTACAGGAACTCTGTTACCTCAAGCAGCTGCATCCTCGCTCCTGTGAAGATGCCATGAAGCAAAAGCTTCCTGAATATGCATCCCGGTTAAGGAGATTGTGAGGCGCCTTTAAGATTATCAGTGCTAGGAATTCTTCATCAGATGAAGATGAGTTTGATTTTTTAGTTTATTTTGTTTAAGGTTTTATTCATTTAGACAGAGGGAAAGGGAAGGAGAAAGAGAGGCAGAGAAACATGCAAGATTAATAGGTTGCCTCTCACACGCCCCCTACTGGGGACCTGGCTGGCAACCCCAGCAAGTGCCCTGACCCAGAATCAAACCTGCAACCTTCCAGTTGACAGGCAGGCGCTCAATCCACTGAGCCACACCAGCTAAGGCAAGTTTGATTTTTTTTAATTGGAAGTTATCCACAGAGAAATCTGGTGGAGGCCGCCAAAACATTCTAGTTTTGGTAAAAGTAATGAAAAGTTTTCTTGAGAATACGAAAGCAGTTCCAAAAGAAAGGTCCAAAGCTCTTTAGAGCAAGGTCAACTTACAAATAATCCTTTTATTTCTAAGAAGATGGTCCTAAGGCCAGCTGCACTTGGCAAAATCATTAACAAATTGGCCCCGGCTGGTGTACTGGGTTCAATCCCCAGGCAGGACACATGTTTGGGTTTCGGGCCTGGTCCCCAGTAGGGGGCACATGAGAGGCAACCACATATTGATGTTTTTCTCTCTTTCCCTTTCCCTCCTTCTAAAAGTAAAGAAATAAAATCTTTGTGTGCTTCCATGAGTGACGAATGCGCAGGGCAGGAGCGGCGGCAGAGGACGCAGAGTCTTCAGTTAGCATTTCCTTAGCGCACTGGCCATGTTGGCTTTCGAAGAGGGCGATTCAAAACCCCAAATCCCTTAAATGTAGGGAGGGTATGAGATTAAAGTATTTCTGATTAAGTATTTTATTAAATTTAGAAAATACGCTTAATTTTTAATTTTCTAGCAGAGGTTACTGTCTGAATTTCAATTTAAAGCAAAAAGGCCCAATAACATTATAATCAAGAGTACCATGATATATTAAGAGAACACCGTTTATTAAAAGTAATAGCAGGTTGCCCTGGCTGGGTGGCTCAGTTGGTTGAGGTCATCCCATACACCAAAAGGTTGTGAGTTCAACTGCTGGTCAGGGCACATGCCTGGGTTGTGGGTTTGATCCCCACCGGGTCGATGTTTTTCTCTCCCCCGCCCCTTCCTCTCTCACTAGGATTAAGGAGTGCATGCTCAGGTGAGGATTAAAGAAAGGAAAACCATAGCGTGCTTTCAGTCTCATGTCAGAAAACAGGCTTGCTGCTTTGCCTGTGTTACTTAATTCCCTGAACTACTTCTCCTTCCCCACCAAAGCTGATTCTAATGTATTTAACAAACCCATGAGCCATGATGAAACATGACATGTTTAAATGAAATAAGGTTAAGTTTGCAAAAATCAGAAATGTACACGACACACATGTACTGTCTCACACATACTGTTGGCAATTTCATGAACAGAAGTAGAAAGAAAATTTATAGTATGAATAAGTGAATCAATATTCTTTAGGTCCTCTTAAAAACATTTTCAAAGTGTCTTATGTTCCTACTTTCTAGTTTACATTTTCTCCAGTCCTGACTCAGACTTCAGTCCTCACTCGCACAAGCCCCCTCCGTGCGCCCCCCGCGTGGGCCGCCGGCTGCTCGTGCCTGACCCCAGAGAGCTCCATCCACGTGTGTGGTCCTGCGGAAACGGTTCTCCAGTACTAGCAGTGACCTGGCCTCTCAATTCTAATATCAGAATTTCAAATAAATGACTAGGTTTTTAAAAACTTCCTTGTAGTGTAACTCTTAGTGATATATATCACAGATATAACTTACTAACTCCTGCACACAAATTCTGAGTCTGTAGCCATTTAGTAAGTAAACCTGCACCCAAAGTAAGAAATGTAAGCGCTAAAATTGTGTAACTAAAAGTGGCACGGGTGATGCTGTGAAGGGGACCCCGTCCCACGGCCACGCCCCTGGGAGAGCGTGGGGCCTTCCTCAACAAAGGCCCTGGCCTTGCTTCGCACGGTTCTCAGGAGTCATTCCTCTGCTGGGTCATTACCGCCACTCGCACAGCGGTTCCCCATTTCCCTTCTTTAGAGATAAACTTGACAGCTTAGTTTCTGTTAACTTACATTTTTAACTTTAAAGAGTGCTGAACTTAATGCAAAAAAAAAGTGACCTGCCTAGCATCTCCTGCTGATTGGTTTTTATTTAATCCTATTTTACATCACTACCTTAACAATCCTTCCAGCTACGTATTTTAAAAGATGTGATGGAGAAGTTATCAAGTGGTGTTTTTAGGTACGCTGAGTTACCCAACCATTGTTTTTCTTTTTCTATACTCAAGAAGATAGGCTGGCATTTCTACTTCCGTGTCGGCTTTCACAGCACACCTGTTGCCTCCATATTTTATTGTTTTGTTTAAATAGCTGCTCCTTAGCATTCTCAGTTTACATTGTGATACACCAGGAAGTGTTTTCTAAGGCGGAAGTGGCAGCTGTGCTTCCCTCCCTCCCCTCACACTGCCCCTCCTTGCCCTGCCCAGCCGCCAGAGGCAGCCCACAGCTGGAGAAGGGGGAGAAGTACCATTCTTGGATCTGTTCATTGACAAAGAGGGAGTGGGTCAAGCAGGTGTTTTCCCCACTCAAAATTTAACTATGTTTAACAGCAGACATACTAATGGACGAGTTTGTACTGTTTAAAGTAAAAGGATTGGCTACAGCTGGTGTGCCTCAGCGGCTTGTCCGCTGGCCTGAGAACCAGAGGGTCACTGGTTCGATTCCCAGTCAGGGCGCTTGCCTGGGTTTCGGGCCAAGTCCCCAGTAGGGGGCACGCAAGATGTTTGCCTCCCTCTCTCCCCCTCTCTAAAAATAAATAAAATATTTTAAAAAACAAACCACTAACGTATACCTACCATCCTCTGTGCTCTACTCATCAGATAATTTCATCCTCCCCCAGGCCGCGTTTGGAGGAACCCATCCCACTACACGAGGCGAAAGTTTCCATGGAAGCTGTTCAGAAAAATCAAGGAAGAAAAAAGCAAGTCGTTCGATTTTAATTTGGTTCTTTCCCAGACCTCAGGTAGATAAACCAGTGACAGCATTTGAAGCCAGTTTGCTTGGAAATTGTTCAGAAAAGTCAAGGAAGATAAAAGCAAGTGTTCCATTTTTAGGTATGTTTTCCTATTGGCTGAGACAAGATGCTGTTATTTCAAATATTTCAAAAGTATTGGAAAATTCCTGGACAAACGGCCAAGACCAGCCTACGAGCGTCACCTGGGGCACAGGTGGCAAACACAAGGCCCCGCGGCCGAGTCGGGCCGCGTCCTGTTTCTGCCTGGAGGCGGGGGCGTGGAGCGCTGGCTGGACTGTTACGGAGCAGTTAACGTCTGCACGGTCCTGAAGTCACCTTCGGCCCTTCGAAGGCCACCGCGAGGCTGCCGTGGCCCCAGTGGAAGTGAGTTTGACACCCCTGCTTGAAGGGAGTATCTGGAGGCATTTTTCATTGCTGCTTTTATATATTTGTCTCCGTTACAAAGTTTTCCATGAAGAAACCTTTCAGCGAACGCCGCGTTTCCCTATTGATAAAGCTGTCAGTCTTTGCTATGTCACAATAACCTGTGTCAGCTCTGTTCCCAACACCTTCCTTCCTCGGCAAGCCGTGCTGGCGCCACTTAACCGTAAATTTGCACATCTCCAAGGAGCTGGCCCACAGACACTCCAAGTGTTGTTCAGATGTTCCTTCACTTGCAGGCTTCCTCAGGAGCCAGCAGGAGCGTGGCAGCGCCTGGGCGGTTGCCGCGCGCCGCACGCGGGGGGCTGCGGCGCGGGTTTCGGTGGCGTCCGTCCGGGGCTGAGGCGGACCCGCAGGCCCTCGCTAGTTCCGGTCGCCTCCGCCCTCTGACGTTTCCTTTCCAACCTGGCGCCGTGCACGGCCCGTCGCACCCCTACAGAGGAGTGCAGACCCATACCCTGGCCCCGGCATCCTGGCTACTCAGCACCCGGGACCGACGTCGGCCGAGTCCCGTTAGCAGCATCGGGGTGCCGTCTGGGCACTCAGGCCACGGAGCAGTGCACCCTGCGCACGCGCTTGCGCGGGAGGGCGGAGGGTGGGGGAGGGCCTGGCAGGCGGCCTGCGGCGCAGGCGCGGCGCCACAGGAGGCGGGGACGTGGCAGGGGCGGGGGCGGGGTCGGCGCGCGCGGGAAGCGGCCCTGAGGTTCTCGCAAGGTCCGCCGCTGCCGCGGTCGCCGCGCGTCATGGCGTTTTCGGTGCCCGGCTACTCGCCCAGTTTCAAAAAGCCGCCCGAGACCTTGCGGCTGCGACGGAAAAGGGTCCGGAGCCTTGGGGCCGACCTCTCTGCCGGGGAGCGACCCGAGCCGGAGCCCCGCCGCGCTGCCCGGGCGGCCGGGCTGCCTCTGCGCCCCTTCCCGGCGGTGGCGGGCAGAGGCGACGGCGGCCCGGGCCCTGCCGGGAGGAACCCCTTCGCCCGCCTGGATAACCGGCCGCGGGCCTCTGCGGAGCCCCACGACGTGCTGCCCCGCGGCCCGCAGCAGTCGCCGGGCCCGGTGAGTGTGGGCACCCGCGGGCGAGTGCTGCGCGCTGGAGACTGGGGAGGTAGCTGTCGTGTTCGAGGAAGGAGATGGACGCGGGGCCGGGCCGGTGTGTGCGGGGCGCGGTGCTGCGTGAGGGTCGGGTGTTGGGATGTGGGGAGCAGCCCCCTCCCACCCCGGGTGGCCGCTGTGTCCGGGCGGATGGCGAGGGTGCAGGTTCCCTAGAGGTGTAGACAGCAGTGTTCGGTGCGCAGATGCCCTCAGTGACCTGCAGCTCAACCCCGGTGGTTGATTTGGATGCGCGGGGCACCCGCGTGCACAGCAGAGGGATTTGTCCACCTGGTGAGGCTGAGCGCGGACTCCTAGCGAACGAACCCCACCCAGTATTTACAGAGGTCACTTCTGTAACCTCAGTTTTCAGATTCTAATCAAGAAAATGATTTGCTCCTGGAAGAGAAATCTGAAGGAATAGCCGCTGCCGAATCCATCCAGGTAATACTTTTTAAATGTCATGAGAATGTACCTTCCTGTAACATAGACACAGGTGTCGCTGAGAGCCCAAGTGAGGTGTCCTGGGCGTGACCGGCTGGGGCCCTCCCCGGGGCAAAGACCAGAGGCAGTGCCAACCTGGGCACACTTAGTTTTTCACTGATTCTTCCCACCCAGTCCCCACGCCCCCCTCCCCAAGCCCCTCTCCCCAAATGTGGCCTCCCTGAACCTTGCTGATGCCACCAACACCTCCACGGTGCTCTTCCCTGCATGCGGCTGCTGTGGCAGGCCGGTCAGTTCACAGCCATCCTTTTGACCCGGGTCCTTCTTTTCTCTGGCTCTGCTGGAAATGTTGCCCCTTTTGCGTGTGCACGTGTGTGTGTGTGTGTGTTGCCACCTGAAAAAATTAATGTGGAGAATACTGTTGAATTTGCCCACAGTAGCCCCACCTAAGTTACCTGCAGGGTCACCTTAGCCCTGGTTTCAGAGTCTTTGTGGCTTAAGGGGTGCTTTTTAAATACTTGGGGTATTTACTTCTGCTTTGACAGCAACATCAGTAGTAGTTTCTGTTTCTTTCATTACAGAGATGAAAATAGCACAGTGCCTTTTGTAACTAAACTGCTCAGAGAAGGCCGAACTGTTTACCCTGAGAGTAAAATGGGTCTCCACCACCACCTCCCCATTCCCTCTTCCCAGAGGCAGCTGCAGGGAGCAGTCCATTGTAGCTCATTTTCCAGACCTTTCATGGTGTGTGGTACCTTTTTAGTTCTTATGCACAGTTTTTAAAATTTTGACATTTCAATAATCATGTGTATATTACCTAATAAATGTGTAGACGGGAGGTTTGTTCCTTGGTACTCCACTAATTTTTGCGTTTGTTCTCTAAAAGACTTCCCGTGGATCACTCTCCGAATCTGACATTCCACCCGCAGAGAACACAGAGCTGCCTGCAGACTGGAGCATTAAAACTCGCCTCCTTTTCACCTCTTCTCAACCCTTCTCCTGGGCGGACCACTTCAAGGCACAGGAAGAGGCTGAAGGCCTGGTGCAGCACTGCCGCGCGGCGGGCGCCACCCTGCCTCAGGGCCTGCAGGTGGTTCTCGCCAGAGCGGCCATGTGTCCCAGTAGCAAGTTCAGTGTAAAATTGGCTTCTCTGCAAAGTATCAGACACATTTCTTTCTGTTGAATTTTTCTCCTGACATTTAAAGTCACAAAGACTTTTGTGTCTTTTCCCAAAGACTTTTGGGAAATTTTGTATTTCCCAAATGATGCATTTATATAGTTTTTAATCAGATTCAGTAACTGCCTGTTAAATTTAGAGACCTGTCCTGAGAAATAATGTTGCAGCAAGGCATAGTTTCAACTAAACCATTCCTTTGTAAGGTCTTTTGAAAAATATAAGGGAAAGAAATGAAAGCTATTTTACTGGTTTTTCTCATCTAATGAATACTCTTGTTTAAAATGCACCAACTCTTGCTACCTGGATGATGGCCTGTTCTAAACTTACTAGAGTTAATGAGTTCGAGTAGTTTTAGAAGCATTACTTTCAAGCTGCTCATTAACTCAAACTAGGGTAAAAGGGATTACCTAGAAGAGATATTGGTACATCTTTTTCAGTGAATCAATCAGGATGACCTTGTATTGGCTGCTGTTCAATGTTGGAGGGGGCAGGGTCGAATGGTGTGTGAGCCACGCACACGCACGCTGCCCTCCTGATGAGACAGACAGGTGTCGTCCTCAAGGGCGGTCAGGGCAGGAGAATGTTCCCATTTGTGTGTGAGTGTAGACTGCAAATGCTGGCAAGAAAGGTTTTCCCAGTGAAAAATAAACTACAGTTTAGCTCCTCTAACAGTTATTAACACTTTCCTATAGGAAACAGAAAAGATAAATGTTTGATATCTTCAGTGTCTTTTTAATGAAACTTCATGCTTCTAATGGGGACAAACCTGTGCAATGTCTGTGGATTGCAGGATCCCAAACTTTCTACCGAGCTGCGCTGTGCTTTCCAGCAGAGCCTCGTCTACTGGTTGCACCCCGCCTTTCCCTGGCTGTCACTGTTCCCTCGCATCGGGGCTGACAGGAGAATGTCGGGAAAGACAAACCCTTGGTCAAATGATGAAACGCTGCAGCGCATTCTAATGAGTGACTGGTGAGATTCCTAAAAACCCGCGCAACCTGGGAGTGAATTTCCATCTCAGCAGGATTTGCTCCTTGTTTTATTTATTTATAATGTGGGATGTTTACTGGTAGAAGGATCTCCATGGACTTCTGAATGATTTTATTGAAACCGTTAATAACCAGCACTTAAATGATTTACTTTTCAGCTCTTATTTCACTCTTTATGCAGTTATGAAAAGTAAGTGTTTGATAAATACACGTAAACATAAAATTCTGTAATATTCTCTGCAGAAGCTGCTAAAGGTATTTATCAACAAGTTATCAGTTAAGTTCCATTAAAGAGGTGGTTGTGCTCACGTGGTAAGCACTGAGCATTGAGAAGTTACCGGCGAGCCCCACCACCAGGCTCAGTTCGTCAGAAGCCACCTTGTCTGTGATGGTGGAAAGTAAAGCCACTGTCTGTAATATTTGACTTGCGTCGCAGTGTCAAAGTGAGTTATGCAGTGCTAATTAGATGTGGAGTTCAAGGTTTAATCACCTAAAGAAATTCCTTCTCTTCACAGGTCTGTGAGCTTCACTTCTCTGTACAACCTTCTGAAGGCAAAACTCTGCCCCTACTTCTACGTGTGCACCCACCAGTTCACTGTGCTCTTCCGTGCCGCAGGGCTGGCGGGGAGCGGGGTGGCCACGGCACTCATGGCCCCTACGACCAGAGGCGTGAGAGAGGCCATGAGAAATGAAGGTAGAGCCACAGGGCAGAGTAGGGACTCCAGGCACACACCAGACGCTCCACTGAAAGTACCTGTTGTCGGTTGAATTGTCTTTTACTGGTGTTACCGATGTTATATTAAGGAATATTTTATTCTTTTCTGGTTCTTGTGTTGGCTATTTAAGCTGTCTC